GTGTTAGTAACCATTGATGGTATATAATCAGTGGAAAAAGCTTCTGGGTCTGTGAAGTGTCTTAAACCTGCATTCTATGTAACAGCCAGCAGGGGGCAGCTCCACTGGTTGCAATAACACACCGGTACCATTCAGTCTTATGGAGAAACGAGTCGACTTCTCAGTTGATTTATGAGCTCAGTAAACAGTTTCCTGATGAGTTTCTGGTCTCAGTCTCTAGTTTCAAGTCTTCTTCCATACAGCATGATGTTCATTTAGTAACTGATGGTCCCATTTAGAATAAAACAGACCATAAAGCAGGGTATGCTTTAGGGCGAGGCTACCTTGTGATTGACAGCTCATTCTCAGTGAGTCCGTCCAGCTCAACGCACCAAACTCAGATCAAACTGTCAAACTAGGCAGTGCTGATCAGATATGGAGCCAGATTCTGTTGTTGACTATTTCTCTCCTCAATTCTGTTCACAAACACATTTTTACTGTCTTTACTGTCTTACCAGATTGTGTGTGACCAGGCGGGCCGCCATTGTTTCCTGATATGGACGAGTTGAAACTTAGCAGTCATTGAGAGCAGCTCAACTCAAAGTACGTCACCTCTGTTGGCAATGACAAACCAACATGGGGACATGAATAACGCCAAACTGGAGGATTCAAAACGGAACTCCACAAACTGACGGGTGACGTTACAATAGGTTCACACATAACACAAACATGGCGTCTGAAGCTTTGTGTATGATACCGGATGTCTTGCGTCCTCTGTTTCACAGTTTCGCCTCACAGCATCATCATTCATCTCTCACTTAGCCATGTTTACCATTGAGGAGCGCTCTGTGCTCCTACTGGCCAACTTCCACCAACACGTCGTGTAAATGACGTGCTCGTCTTTCTGTCTGAATGTCGTGAGGTGTCCCCAATGCAGCTGATGACTGTGATTCACTATACAGGATAAAATCATTATTCGTCGTGTCTGACGGCCATGTTTGTTCCTGCCGCCCTACCTCTGTCAGGTTGGGCGGATATTATGTTGTCTAAAGCCAGCAGATGTTGAAATTCAAGTCAAAATTAGACATTTGATACCAGCGATTTACATTCTGATGAGGTATAATCATTTTCACGGTCAGAAAAATGACACGTGAAGATGTCCTGCCACAGTCTTCTTGCATAATTCATGAAAGACTGAATGTTCCTTTATAGTGAGAAGAGCTTCTGTGTTACCAGCTGACAATGATCACAGTCTGTCTGTTGTACGCACGAGGTGATCAGGATGAAAAATCTGCCTCACGTCCTGAAATGCAAATTCTTTCTCACACAGACAAGGAGAAGAAGAAGGAATCAGACTGAATCCAACCGAATGGCAGACATTAAGAACAACTACAGAAACAGCCAGTCTTCTCACTGATGGCGTTGTTTGTTCATGTAGCTCATATAGAGGCATCAGTATTAAACTGAGACTTGTAGAAACATTAATAGGGCTACCTATAACGATATAGAGGTTATGATTTGATATATAATTGTGGTGTACTTGTACAGTTATTTGTCCAGCCACAAGTACAGTATGTCAGTACAGGCATCTGAACAAAGACACGACCCAAAGTATTCAAGAAATGTTCTTAAAACTCATGGTATCACCAGTCAGATCGATGCTCTGGTTGTTCAGTTGTTTGTACTAAACATCGAAGTGTAGACGGAATACTTCAGCTGGTGTTTTGTTGGCCAATGACAACAAGATGCAAAAGCTATTTAATCATGCTCCAGTGGAAGCAGGAAAGCGAATCCACTTCTTCTTCAAAACAGACAAAATGATTTAAGGTTCTGTGTTGTGTCGTGTGTGTGAGCCAGCGAGGAGTCATTTTCATCCTGAAAAGACTGAGATATAAAAAAATCACTTCGTAGACCTTAAATATCCCTGGAACACTTAAAGGCCTCAGTGAAGAGGTGGAGGAACCGGCAGAACCTCTTAAATTAGGCCTCAAATGTAAACAGTGGCAGTTTAAAGAACCATACAGCTGTTATTATCACGTTTTAGCCGTTAACTGTAAATAAATCCTCAGATCATTTACTTAAGTAAAAGTAGCAATACTGCAGTGTAGAAAAGCTCTGTTAGAATTCAAAGTCAGTAAACACACTGAATAAAGCAGTTCCACCTTAAAAATCACCGCTTCTCCCACACTGTTGGACAGACAAAGGACGTCCCGGAGGTTATCACCTGCCAGTTATGACGCAAAATGCCAATAAATCATACATATCTAAATACGCATGAAACCCACTTTTTATAGTTTCAAATAACTAATTAAAACCAAATCAGAAAAATAAAATCAGCAGGATTAGATCTACTTGAAAGACAGAAACCATATTTGGGTAATATTTATTTGACGTGGTTTCTTTAGTTTGTCTTTTGGGAAGCTTTATGAGCTATACTGCCTTCAGCCACCAGGGGGCGATTGAGATGTCTGCTCCACTATTGGAGAGCTGTTGTGTCGTCCATCTGTATATATGTTGATGGTGTGAAACCATACAGGTTATATCATATTCACCTCACCTCTACAACAGGGAAGAGGTCTGACTCCGTTATTTATCTACACCGGAAGTGGGAACGTTGCGTACATTCTCACCTTGACCCCACATTTAATGAAATATGTGATCAGCTTTAATAGTCCAACGTACAGCATGACGGACTGACAGAGCTGGAGGGACAGGACAGGACAGACTGTAGACGTCGGCTAAACATTGGTAAACATCGGCTGGTATTAGATCAGCTCTCCCACACAGCTCTGGGATCAGCTGCTGTTTTAATAGTCATGGTGGCGGCTCAGTGTGTTGGTATTTGTGTTCGTAACAATATGAACAACACAAGTTGTCTGAGTGGACGTTCATCAAAACGTCTGTTAATGCTGTGTTTCTTCATCGAAAACACTGCGGAGTCACAGCGGAGACTCATCTGGTCCAGCTTTCACATGACGTGGACTTTATTAAATATTAAAATATTATAAACAATTACAGTTTTAGTTTTAGTTCATGTTGATAAATCAGCTTCCAGACGGAATAAAGTAAAAATCATCTGCTTTTGTAATTGTTTGTGTAAAGGAGCAGTGTCTAGCTTTTAGTGGCATCCAATGGTTGCAGATTACAACCGCCTCGCCTCACTAAACTACAGTGACAGTGAAGTGCACAAAAAACGTTAAAGGTGGACGAGGCGGACTCCATATTAGAGGATAAAAACTATTCCTATATCAAGGTGTTTATACACTAATGAAAACATACCTATGGATATTATATTTGTTAAACGGCATCAAAGTTATGCCAATCTTCTTACATTCACCTTTAAAAGGTAACTTATACATGTTTTAGATCAAAATGTGCAGAAAGACCTCAGATATCTGTATAATTAGTCCTAGAGCTCTGTGTAAACTTTTGTTTTGGTGTTTGAAATGGGTTTATCAAAAATGATGAATATATAAATAAAATAATATTTAAATGTCTAATAAATTAGTTTCACACAAATATCGACTGACACACAAACCCAGGCAGACTTCTCTTCCTCATAATGTGCTGTGGGAATCATGTACACTCTTACAAGAATATACACCTGGAAGAGAGAGTCTACAGATTCAGACAGTATCTGAACCATATTTCTGTGCTGTATTATCGCAGCGATATTGAAATTGCTCTTGAAAAGTCACCACAGAAACATCAAGCTAATGTACTGCTAGCTGTAAGGTAGTTAACACTGTAGTTTTTCAGTCTTTTCAGTTGAATATCTGTAGTGGATGTAGTAAATAACGAGTTATACAGATTTAATTGCATTTGTTACCTTATCAGCTGAAAGTCTTCTCACTCCTCATGGATCAAGGACATTTTTTAATTAGTTAAAGTGTAAAAAATCTGGTGTACTATTAAGGATTTACTTAAATGTAACAGGATGTGTGGACCTTTGTCTGCACAGGTTGAGAGGTTTGTGTTTGCTGCCACTCCGGAATAATATCTAATAGTTTTATTTAATTAGTTTATTGTCCCTGTGGTGGGTTTGTAATGTTATTTTATTGTATTAATGTATTTGCATTAATTTACAAGTTGGTGACCAACCTGTACATTTTACAGCATTACTTTTATTATTATTATTGTTATTAGTCTGATTTAGTCACTTTAGTTTCTACATTTTATAGGTTTTATTTTCCTGCTGTATGTTGTACTGGACATAACACTGATGCTTGAAAAGTAACTCTTTGACATCTGTATGTCACAATAAATGAATTTGGGGGAAAAGATCATGTGTAGTAGGTTGTGGGAACCAATCAGGAAAGAGACTTTTGACTTGTCAGCAACAGGAACACGAAGTTAGGAGACAAAAGTGGAAATGGCGGCTGGCAGGAGGTCAGTGATTTCAGACACATCCTGGTTCTATTTAAAGAGATACTCCACCCGAACACATGAGTTATATGACTCTACTGTGAGGAAACACGTCAATGCTGCTGTTAAAATTAACATTATTACTAAATGTATGAAAAGTTACTGACATAGTGTTAACGCCCTCTAACCCTGGACTTAATATGTTTATATTGTGACGCAGTTGTTCGGACTTTAGACGCTGTAGAAGCACCGGACTGCGATCTTTACCTTGATCCGACACTGACAGCCTCTCTGAGCCGCTTAGCTACAACACACAGCAACTATTACAAACGGTCATGAATGTGCTTCTAGTGACCGTAAAAGCTCCAGCTGCAGTCTGACGTTAGCTCTGTTAGCTCTGTTAGCTGTGACTACCAGCTAGCTGTTCCTGCTACGTTGCTGTGGTTAGTCTGTCAATCACTGCGGTCGGTGTCGAGGCCACGCCCTCTGAAGTCGTTGTCCTTTGCAGGTCTCTGATGCATTATTTTGAATTTACTGAACTGAAGGTTGCAGTTACACTTTACTCTGACTGGTTCAGATCCAACCCGGTTTAGTTCCAGGCAGATAAATTCAACACTTCCAGTATTAAAGAAAGGCAGTTACACCACCACACTTACCTATCGTCAGCAGTCCCATCAAACTTTTCCAATGGCCTTTACTGATTTCTACGGGTCTCTTCTGGTCTGTCCTGGCCTGGTCTGATCCACTCTACAGAGTCTGGCTGGATTACGGGTTTGGTACTGGTTTGGCCTGATTCTGGCTTCTAGTTCTGGTCCAGCTTGAGGTGCCAGGTTCTTGTGTCTCTGGTTGGGTTGTGGTTTTGCTTGGACCTCAGCAGAGCAGCTTTCAGAGAAGTTTCTTGTGGATTGTTGTAATCCTGTGAGTGACAGAATGAGTACTTTCTGCAGGAGGTGAAGTAGTTTCTGAAGATGCTTTAGTTCCTCTTGTAGAATGAGCAGAATCCGCAGGAGGTGGAGCAGCTTCACAGTCAACGCTTAGTTCAACTGTAGTTATTGAGTAGTAATCCTGCAGCAGAGTGAGAGGTCTCAGAGTTTCAGATTGTATTCTGGGAGCTGCCCTGCCCATCCTGTAGAAAGGGGAGGAAAAGAGGGAGGAAGAGCGAGAGGAAGATAGGGAGGAGGCGGGTGGGAGGTAAAGGAGAGGGAGGCCAGGATGTGAAGGAGGGGAAGGGAGGGGAAGAAGAAAAAAAAACAACATGTCAGGAGAGGAGTGTACAGAGACAGCGGAGCGTGCTGTCTTGCAGTTTAAATCAGAATTGGGTCAGACACAGTTTCATTTTGTGGAGGCCATTTCAGGTTCAGTCAGTTACACAATACGAAGCAGTTGTATCGGTTTGCATGGCAACAAGGACCGACCGAAAGAGTCGTAAACGCTGTTTCTATGTGCTGCTACGCTGGTAGTATTATGTAAAGTTCTAAATATTGATCCGTCTTCCTGTTTCTATTCTCAGACGAGCACAAAAACTAGAAAACCGGTGGTGGGACTCACTAGTGCAGCAGACTAGGGATTACTGTTAGCCTAAGTTAGACAGAGACACAATAACTCGGTGATAACAACTGGATTGACGTGATGGAAGACAACAGAGGAGGAAACAGAGCAGAGCTGCATGTAAAGCAAGTGGAGACATGTTTGTCCAAATGCTTCATCCATCCAGTCAAACTTTGGGAACCAATGAACCGATTCTTAAACTAACCTTCTCACTTTAATTATATTAATTGCATCTTGTTTTATAAAATAGATTATTAACTTATTGCTGGCCTGTTGTTTAGTGTATGATTTATTGATCGTAATGTTCTATATGACGTAAGGTGATCCTTACTAAATAAAATGTGTTGTTATTATTACCTATATTATTATTCCCGACTCCGACTTCGGACTTCCGATGTAAACGAAACGCACCATTAACCTAAATATCGGCACTAACCTGTACTTGGATATGCTTGTGGATTACTGTTACTGATTAGTCAGTTAGCAGCATACGATTGGCAGTCTGCTTTAGGAACCAGCTGTTGACCTTTAGTAGCCTATTAGCAGAGGGCTGTTAGCATACTGGTAGCCAGCTGGTAGCCTGCTAATAGCTAACAGCATGCTAACCAGCTGGCGTGTGTGGGTCTGTGGAACCGGTATGTTTCCATGGCAACGCCGACAGCAGGAGGACATGTTGGAAACAAGAAAACAATAAAAAAAAAAAAAAAAAACTTGACAAAGATTAGAAGTACTTCCTGTGACCAACACTTCCTGTTTCCCGTCTGGGTTGCCAAGGAAACGGATGTTTGGCAGGAAAAAGCCGAGAAGCTGGACGGCACTGATAACACACACACACACACACACACTGTCATTGTGTGTGTGTGTTGGACACTGGTCTCGCATTAGTCCGATCCAGAGTCTGTAGATCCGGTTCCTGTTGATGTGACTCTTTAACTCGGAATATTTAATAAAGTTAATCTGTTAATCTGTTAATCTGTTAATCTGTTAATCTGTTAATCTGCGATGGTTTCAGGTGTTTGGGGCTGAATGAAGTTGATTTCCAGCACTTTCTGTCATGCAGTGAAGTTGAGGAAGCGTTTGACTACATTTGCATCCGTCATGTGTCCGTGTTCCCGAACCAGAACTGATCGGATCCTGATCGAAACCCGTCACACACACACACACACACACACACACACACACACACACAGGAACTGGATTCTGAAGCGGTCCAGTTGTGGTCAGATCACAAGGATGCTTTTCATTGTTAGGTGTGAACAAGATGTGTGTGTGTATGTGTGCGTGTGTCCTGAAAATGTAGCTCCCTTGGCCATTACCATGGTAACCAATGGCAGGAGATGATAATACACACTGTATTATCATCTCTCTCTCTCTGACACACACACACACACACACACACACACACTCTCTCTCTATCTTGTCAAGTTTCTCACATCACTGGGAATCTAAAAACTGAGGCAGATCTGCTCAGTTTTTTCTCTTCGCATTAAAATCCTGACGCCCTGTTCGCAGCCCCCCTAGAGGCTGAAACGAGCATTACAGCCAACATTTAAGTGATGGATGAAACGAACAACGTACCGGTGATCAGGGTTGGAGTTTAATAACGTTTTATTGAATACTGAATACTTAAGAATCAGTCATTTAATGAATTCTAGCTTCAACTTAAACCTGCAAGAAACAAGCATAACTTGTTATCAAATAGTTGGTTATTGGTCTTTAATATGGTCTCCACCAACTCCAGAGGGAAATATGTGTCTCTTCAGCTGCTAAATGCTCCATTATCTTCCCCAGTTAGTCTCTAACTGCGTATGTTTGCAGCTGAGCAGGTACTGCAGCTTTATCTCTGAAACAACGACACTCAATATAAGGATTAATACATAAAGACTCATCACTACCAGAGACACATTATCGGTGTTAGCATTAAAGGACCAGTGTGGAGGATTTAGTGGCATCCAGCAGTGAACTGAATAAACGTGTAGGTGGCAACAAAAAATGCCCCTAAAAAAAGTCCCTATCTCGAGCCAGTGGTGTGTGTGAACATGGTGGTTCAACATGGCCTCTACAGAAGAGGACCCGCTCCCTCTGTAGATAAAAACGTCTCATTCTAAGGCAACGAAAACACAATGATTCCTACATTCAGTTGATTATACCCTAATAAAAACATACCTGTGAATATTATATTTTTACATTTCTGCCGGAAGATCCTCCTCAATGTTACACACAGCAGCTTCAATACAAAGTTATAATAAAATATCGATTATAGCCAATAGAAGTTATAATTAACTTTCTTTCACAAGGTCCCAGAACTATCACATTCATTACATTTCTAAGTATATATCTACTAATGGAGGGGTGGTACGATCGACTGACCCAAACTGTCAGGTTAATCGGGTTAGTTGGGGAAATGGCGCTCCACCGAGTGCTGTCACATGTCCCTCAGGCGCATCCTTTGACCGTCTTCGAGGCGTCGTTTGTAGTTTTTTTTTAGCATAAACGGAGAAACAAACTACAAAACGGAGCTCAGCAGGAGAGCTGAGAGAGGTCCAGTGACGCCAGTAGAATGACTTTTTATTTACAGTCTGTTGCATAATTTTCATGCTAGAACGAGTTTGCTCTGAACTGTAAGAAGAGTGCAGTGTTGCATCGTGGGAAATGCAGTCTTGTAACTGCATTTCTTCTTCTTTTTTTTTTTTAACTATCTGAGGCATGTCTCATTTTGCTCCTGTGGAAATGTTCATTGAGGCCAGCGAAGCAGTTTAACCTCTGACCACCAATGCCGGGGTAGGAGGCGCTCAAGGCGAGGCCCTTACTGTCGCCGTGCTGGGCTTAACGCGTTGCCATGACAACCACGTGATGTTAAAGAGTGTCAGTGCTGCAGAAGACGAAGATCCACTTCCTGTTTGAAGTGTTTGATTTTTTTTTTTGTGTGTTGAGCAGATCATCTCTTTAGATAGACGGTCTGAGACTACGGCCTACACACTCTCTGCTGCTGCTTACATAACACACACACACACACACACACACACACACACACACACACACACACACACACACACGAGGACGGTAAAGTGATGCTGGAGGAAACAGAAACAGGAAATAAAAAGACAACTCACAGAGAGAGAGAGAGGGGGGGGGAAGACTAATGAAAGAAAGAAAGGACAGGTGGGTGGGACAAAATATTTAAAGAAAGGAGAGGAAGATAAGAGATGAGGAAAGAGGGAGGAAAAGGAAATAGGGTCAATAAAGAAAGATGAAAGACGGGGAATGAAAGGAGGCTAGGAAAGGATGTGAGAAGAGGAAGGAAAGGGATGGAGTAAAGGAAAGGGGAGGAAAGGAAGCAAGTGAGGAATAAGGGAAGGAAATGGTGTGAGGAGACGAGTACGGAGTAAAGAAAAAGGAAAGAGGTGAACAGGAAGAGAGAAGAGGCAAGGAGGCAACTGAGGATAGTAGGACAGAGTAAAGAATATAAAGAAAGGATGGAAGGAAAAGAGGAAAGGAGGCAAACGAGACGAGGAATAAGAAAAAAAAGGGAATGGATGTAATTCCTGAAAGGAGAGAAGACGAGAGGATGGAAAGGACAGACGGCAAACAAGGAAGAGAGGGAAGGAATGACGAGATGTTAGAAGGAAAGGACGCAAGGTAACAGAAGGAAGGAAACGAGGGATGAGGAAGGAGATGAAGAGAAGAGGGAAGAACGAAAGGAGGCAAGGAAAGGGAACAGAGGGAACAGGACAGAGGGGTAAAAACGAGATGAAGGAAAGGATGAAATGAATAAGGAAGAGAAAAAGAAGAGAAGGAAAGGAATATAGGTAGGGAACGCAGAGAGGAAAGAAGGAAAGGAAAGGTGAGAAAAGGAAGCAAAGGGATGAGGGAAGGAGATGACAGTACGGAGGGAAAAAACAAAAAAGGAGAGGAAGAGGAAGAGAGGAGGGCAAACGAGGAAAATATAGTAGAGGAGGCAAGGAAAGGAAGAGAGGAGAGGAAGGAAGGGAAGGAAAAGAGTGAAGGAATGTAGACGGAGGAGGAAAGGAAATAAAGAGACGAACGGACGACGAGAGGTAAAAAAGGTAAAGTAGGTAAAGAACAATTTGTCACGACTTTTAAAGTTAAAGAACCGGCAGCAAGTGAGCGACACACACACACACACACACACACACACACACACACACAGCTGCAGAGAGAGAGAGAGAGAGAGAGAGAGAGAGAGAGAGACTCACCCAGAAGATCACCGACTCGTTCTCCATGATGATAAACTGAAAAGAAAAAAGGAAGGACTGATGGAGAGAGAGAGGGAGAGAGGGAGAGAGATGATGGAGGAGAGAGAGAGATGATGGGAAAAAAAGAAGAAGAGGAAGAAGAAGAGGAGGAGGAGGAGGAGGAGGAGGTGCATCTGGAGACGAAAAGAGAGAGAGAAGAAGGAGAAGAAGGAGAAGAAGGAGAGAGAGGAGAGAGAGAGAGGGAGAGGCAGGATGAGTGGAAGGCTGGTCGGTTCAGCCCACACACTGCTAGCATGACACACACTCTGTGTGTTACGAGTGTGTGTGTGTGTGCGTGCACGTGTGAGTGTGCACGCCGTCTCCCACTCCAATGCGTGGGTTAGAAAACACACCTCTCTCTCTCTCTCTCTCTCTCTCTCTCTCTCTCCCTCTCTCTCTCTCTCCCTCCCTCTCTCTCTCTCGAGCTGAGCGATAGAGAGAGAGAGAGAGAGAGAGAGAGAGAGAGGGGTAAGCAGCGTGGGTGTGGAGGAGCGGCCCCGTCACTATGGCAACGATGCAATAGCAAAAAAAAAAAGGATTCAGATTCAGCATCCAAGCATCATCATCATCATCATCATCACTGGCCAATGATGACAAGCCCTGATGCATGATGGGGGATTAAGAAAACAGCTGTTGAATCCATTTTTTATTTCGCCAATGTTTGATTTCATGACATTCTTCTATATCGGCCAATCAGAGCACACGTGGCAGGAGTCACCTGACCCCCCCCTGCAGGAGACGAAGAGGGTGTTTTCCACATGTGAAGTCGGAGACGTCGGAGGATCACCGACTGTGTTTACACTGACGGTTGAATCTGTCAGCGGCTCCATTCACAGGCTGTTACACAGCAGCGTACCTGCTGATGGGAATATTCCAGTTCTGCTGCTTTTATTAAAGAGTTGAAGAAATAATATTCCAGGAGTTTTCCCTGACAATACAGGACAGATCATCCGACCAACAGTCGGGTTTCAAACTGAATCCTCACCCAGGTTCAAGTAGAAGATCGTAGTGAGGGGCTAAAGTATAAGGACAACTTTTCCAGGATATTTGGTCATTTTAACCAATTTCCAGATGTTTCCACGACTGGAAAACTAGTCTCTCACGTTTGAACTTCAGTGGACATTTAACTTCCATTAAACTGTAGCTAACAGCGCCGCCAGTGGCCGTTCAGTGAACTGCATCCTGGGCGTCAGTCGGCCAACAGAGACAAACACTGAACGCTGTGAAATAACTGACAGTCATATTTAGAATAACGTTACTATCTGCTATGTTCCTATATTTTATCTGGACCGTTAGCTCCATGCTGCTAACTAGCTCACCGTTTACAAATCAGCCGGACAACACCAGCGTTAGCCAACTAAAAGACATTTTGCTCGCGATAATGTTAGCGAACAAAGCGAGCTAAAATTTATCAGACTCAGGACAAAATAACCTGTAAACGCGCAGAACGATCAAACCAAACATATCGTATTTCGACTTTTACTTAAGTAAAGGACCTGAATTCTTCCTCTTCCTCTGGAGGATTCACATTCACTTCAACACAATCTAAGTGTGTTTGAGCAGCATCTAGTGGCCTTTAGAGGAACTGCAACAATGGCTTTAGTTCGACATTTTGGGGAATAATAATTGTATAATTTCCCCTTGAAATCAATGACACGAGGTGGTTCAAACTCTACCGCTTTTGTCCACAGGGGGCGCCAGAATCAACACAAAATAAAAGTTCCTTGTAGCTGCTTTAAGTAACATTTTCAATGCAGGACTTTAACTTTAACAGAGTATTTTTACAGTGTTGTGTTAGTGGGGACACTAATAGGGGAACTTTTCATTCACTGCTGCTGATCTAACAAGCTTTAGTTTGATGACAGTGAATATAAACAATCTTTTTAATCTTCTTATGTCGAAATTAGAAAACGATAAAACAAACTGTCATCAGATAAATCACTGAGGCTCGTGTTCAAGTCACGATCACAACAATGAGTTTTGCAGTTATTTATGTGGCTCGAAAGGTTCAGCCGGATGTCGCAGCTGTTTGTTTGAACTGTCAGTTCTGCGTCAGTATATATGAAACAAACAAAAGTCCCACTCTCACAGAGTTGATCACACTTGATGGATTGGATGAAGCATCAATAGATAAATAAACCTCTAATCTCTGGCTTCCCTCCTCTATAGATCTGCTGCTCACGTCATCCACTGCAGCTGAGAGAAAATGAGACAACAGTGAGGGCAGGTGGAGCCTAAATGTGATCAGTGGAGAGAATAAACCGACTGCTGTGAGATTCAGTCTGAACGAATACTCAAACTCCAAGTAATAAAGATTAGAGATGGCATGTGCGACACCGATGCTGCAACCTCGATTATCTGCCAGTAGCATCTTTTCCCCTGTTAATAATTCAATATCATGATCAGTTGTGAAACAAATATTCTACTCCAGTGAAGGAAGGAATATAAGCCCACAACATGAATTATCCAAATACTGCTGTTTCTTTCTATTTAAACCTTTTCACACTGAACTTTTAGCTGCATTTTTAATTCTCAGCAGCATCCAAACATTCAAAATTAAATTTAAATTAAAGCTGCAAGCCGCGATGATCGGGCCCTCGCTGTCCGCGCATGTCGGGGTGTGCTGCATACAAAGTTTTACTTCATCTTTCCAGTAGGGGCGCTATGAGTATGACTGAATGTTGGCATGTAGATGTGTTCAGGGCGGGATTCTTATCAGACGTGAAGTTTAGCTGAGATTGGACAAAGTACACTGAAGTTATGACAACTTCCTGTTTAATGGCGAATCGCCAAAATTCGATGGCAACTCACGGGCAGGATTTAATGAAAGTTTCAGCAAATGTGACAAAAAATTATTTATATAAAAGTTACCTAGTGCAGCTTTAAGTAAATTGTCTAATCTAACGATGGTTAAGTGTCGAGGACGAGAAAACACCGAACTGGTCAAAAAAGCAGATTATTATTATTATTTGGTATAAAACTTTCCCTAAATAAGCTTAAATTTCCAAGAGTTACTGAGTTTACTGTTTGGGTTTATACTATATTACAGTTTTTAATATAATATGAAACAATAATGTCTTATAATGTCTGTCGGTCCTCAGTTTACTAAATTATATAAAAAGGCTCCCTTAAGGAAAAAAAGCTGCTTTAAATAACCGGACAACCTGTGACGCAGGTGTTTGTTTGCAGTCATAAACTAATACAGCAGTATCTATATTTATATACACACACTCTGACTGCCACAGTGAGCTGAAGAGCTCAGACTTATTTGTGTAACCAATAACATAAACTAGATAAATAACACTTAATTTCACACGCTGTATCAGAGTTATTGATTTCAGGATAAAGAACGTGTCGGCTTTAATGGACTGTTACTGCTGGGATTCAGAATTCAGTTCATACTTCTAAAATCATTTATTTTCTAATCTCTGCACACACACACACACACACACACACACACACACACACACACACTGTATTTCTAACACATTTTCATTCTTTGAATTGATCCGTTCATGGTTACAGAAGAGAGTTTTATTAGCACATAGAAAGCAATTTACTGGTGTCGGTTTCATGGTCACAACCTGCTACAGTATAAACGATATCAATGAAAACCAGCCCGGATGATCAGAGTTGTTTATTTATTTGTCAGGAACAATGTGTTTGTATGTTCATCTGTGTGTAACTGATAGAGAGGCACAATGTGGGTTTTATTTTTACAGCCGACACCGATAAAATAACCAATATGTATTTTAAAGAGAAGTTTCATAATCTGTAGTTTTTACACCCCTGAGGGTGAGACAGGCTCAGATGTAGTGAGTCTTGTTTCCAGTAAAAGTGCATTAAAATAAACCATCATAGAACATAAAGCCTAGAATTAAAGAATTAAAAAATAATTATTAAAATCAACCGATAATTTATCAGATGTGATTTAATTAATCCCAATAATTTAAAATAATATATATTTTCCATTATATAAAAATGTATTGATGTAATAATTATGGTGCATCCGTAGTTACTTTTACTGTCAGTGTACCTGCAGACATCAGGTTTGGTTGGTTGTCCAACATTCAACATTTTAGCATAACTTTATGTCACATTTATGTCTCATTGTTGTACTTTCAGCTGTAGATAACAATAATTACTAATAATATAATTATTTAGAACCTGGATTATCAGCACAAAATGCAAGAATGAATGTATGGACAGACAGTTTTTACTTAAATCAGATACAAAAAGATTTCAAACTAATATTTAGAGCCTTTAAAGCTCTTTTCTGTTCGGAGGAAACTTAAATCAGAGTGTTGCTTGGATTAAAATACAAACAGCCGGTAGGTGCAGCGTTATAGCGCCCTCTGCTGGACTGAAGGAGCCTGAACTCTGGTTCTTATTGTCTCCAGCTGATCTGTAACCAGAGGAAAGACGAGGACCCTGAGCTCCAGTCAGTGTTTCCATCCACAGCCTGCAGGGAAACAGTTCGTTTGGATAATATTAAAATAACATTTCATGGTTCCAGCTGCTCAAATGTTTGAAGATTTGCTTTGACTGATTTTAATATTTTGAGGTTTGGACTGTTGGCATTGTGATGGTTTCACTTTGAGCTTTATTAATTAGACTAACAACTGTTTTTATTATCCAATGGGAAAATAGTTTTCTGGTAAAAGTGGAAAGAAAAATAGTTGTGAAAACTGTGAAGATATAAGGCTTCACATGAGAATATAAACATTTTAATCTCAAGTTTAGACAAAATTCATTGTCTCTTTAAATTGAACATTCATTTGAAATGATAAATATCAGGTTTGCACTGAATCAAACTGACATACAGCCCTTCCTGTATCATACTAGATTTAGTCACTATGGAAGCCAATTCCTGCCAGCAAATTCAAAAAAATTGATGAAAACTCACAATTAGGTGATAAAAAGTCTAAATTATTGGATAAAAAAAGTCCAAATTTAGATACAAAGAAAAAAAAAGTCATAATTATGAATAACAATGAGGATATTTTATTATCAAACCCACATTATCATCTTATGTTTGTGTTTTACTGGCTATAGGCTTCCACAGGGTTATTCTATCTATCTTATCCCATAAGAATATATTATAAAATGTTGTGTATGTTTGAAAAGAAGGAAAAGAAAAAGAAAATAACAATAATGTTTCTTTCTTTATGTATTTTGTAACAATCCACAAAGTTTAATCAGAAGTTGAGAATCTGAAATCATTTTAAACAGTTAATAAAACCAACTGCGGCCTCATAATTTGACCGATTTAATAAAGTTAAATGGACGTGTGCTCAGCTCACATGGTGCTCTAAGTGCTCCACTGTGTCCACGAATGAGTTAATGGAGAAACTAATTAGCAGATTGATCCATAATGGAGATAATCAATCCACCTTAAACAACCTCCACAAACCTGTTTCTCCACTTTGGGGATTTTTCAGCGCCGTCGGATCAAAGTTTCCCCACCGAGCTGAAAATCTGTATTTTGGGATTTACATTTTAATTTCAGGCTGAACCCCCCCCCCACTGATAACCTGACAGCCTAGTTACCATAGCAACCACCCACCTGCTGGGGATTATAACCTGTTTAATGTGTATCCGAGGTGCGTTCAGGTGTCGGGGCTCCACAGCATGCAAAGCGATGTCATTACGAGTCCCAAAGGATCGTCTGATCGACACGCAATAGACCTTTTTCACAGCAGCCATTTTGACATGAAACAGTAGGGTAAACACAGGTGTTACCGATGGCACGAGCAGAGCCTTTCCAGTGAGCCAACCTGCACAATAGCAGCTGTTGTTGGTCCGGGACTGGGGAGGAACATTAGTTTCAGTATAAGTTTATTCATAATTAATTTTATGTTACAGAAAATTCATCTCAAATATTGTTATTTTTTATAAAAGTTACCAACTGCAGCCTTAATATCAGGCTGCAGGCGCGTAGCTGTGACCGTCGGCAGCATTTCCAAAATAGATTTGATGCCTAAAGTTCGCTGCAACTCCTGACTGACACTGAAGCTGAAATTTAAACTCACACTCAGTTTTACAGTTAAACTTTTCCAGGACAACATCGTTCATTTCCAGGAGATTTGGTCATTTTAATCAATTTCCAGGCGTTTCTACGACTGGAGAACTAATCACTAAATTCCCAGGTTTCCCAGGACGCCTGGGAACCTGGAATTATACGTTTATAAATGTAATAAAAAGATAAAGACAGCAGACGTAAACCGGCTGTTTGAAGTTCATTTATTTAGAAAAAGACTGACTTTCATAATCATCCATCACATTTAAACACAGAGAAATATTTCACAGAAACTAAATACAAACATCAGAAACTCTAATAATCAGTACTCTGATTACTGTAATCTGATTACTACAGGATACTGTGGTTACATGGTACAGTCAGTGTTAAGGTTTGTTATGTTTCACTACATTCGGCTCTGGTCGGTCTCCAGAGGTGCGTTTGTTTTATGTCTCTTTGTGTCCCTTCAGTAACAGATCCATGTACGCTCCCGTCACCAGACTCTCCTTCGAAACACCGAGCTTCTCCATCAGATCCTCGGCCACCTTAAAAAAACCACACAACAACAGTTTAAAGCATGAACTCTGACCCACGATGAGAAATGAACCCAGGAGTTACGGGTTCTTCCCTACGGAAGCTCATTACCGCCAATATGACGGTAAAAAGAGGATTCTTTAAGTTATTATAATGAGAAACTTTCTTAGTATCTCCATATAATTAGAAACCTTTATTAGGTGTGATAAAACTGATGACATGTGGAATGCAATAATTGTGTTCTTGAATAAGATGTTGGGCACACTCATTATGTCTTTTGGGATTTCTACCAGATAATGCTCAAATGTCTTTTGGGATTTCTACCAGATAATGCTCAAATGTCAAAACGCCGAAAATCCTGGTGTCGTTTATCTATGATAACGGGGCGCAGGATAACTTTACTTCTCTCCCACTTTGTCCACTTTTAAGGAATGGATAGAAGTACTAAGCTCAATGGCGAGCTATGAGCGGGTCACCTACAGAGTAGCTGGGAGGGAAGATCTATTTAATGCAGTCTGGGTTCCGTTCCCAACTCAACTGCTGCTACCGACCTCTGCAGAATCTGTTATTTGGTTCAGGTACAGGATGTGTGTACTATGTATTTATATCTATGTTTTGCGAACTCCTTTTTATTTTAGGAGACAAAGGATCCTGTCATTGAAAGTTTCTCACTATAATGACATAAAGAATCCTTTTATCCCCGTTATATTGGAGTAAATGTGCTTCCATACATCCCACATACACCATATTATTACATTTCAACTTTCAGGGTTGACCCCAGTTAACATGCAAACACTCAGTAACCGACCTGCTGCCCCTCTTCAACTGTCTGCTCTGGACGCATCACCACCTGAACAAACAAACAAACAAACAAACAAACAAACAAACAAACAAACAAACAAACAGGTTACTTCCTGAACTGTGGATCCATCCTGTTCACACCTGTTCGTCTCAGTGGGAAACAGATTTCCACTTCATTAACCGGCTCCTCTGGGAAATCTCACACACATTCAGAAAACTCCAACAACTATAATCAAACGTCTCTGAACGGTCGGCAGGCGACGCTTCACCGCCAGCTGTCGCACTTCAACCCACAGAGTTTTATCCTCACTGTGAAGCATCGCGTTAGAAAAGGTTGATGGAAACCAAAGAATTAAAACCTGTTTTGAGGTGGTTTTTGCTTTTATTTGATAGAACAGCTCAACATGGACGGGAGACGGAGAAAGAGAAAGAGAAAGAGAGAGAGAGAGAGAGAGAGAGGATAGATGTCCCTCTGTTTAAGAAACCATTTTCCAGGACCTTCCAGGACCTTTCCAGGAGGTTTTCTGGACAATTTAAGAAAGCACTTGTCTTTTCAAATGGACTCAATCACGTATGTCTTCTTTCAGAAGTCATATTTTCTTACATTATGGTATCATATCTCATAATATATTTCATAATAAGGAGATCATTTGTCATTATTGATTATTAATCAGCCAGACACAGAGAATGAATTTACTTCTATTGTGAATGTGCTTTCATAAAAACAACATTCAACCTTAAGATAATATTTAACCTTGTAGAACTATATTCATTATAGATTATTGTTTGATCTATAAAGTGTTAAACTCACAGATATTAAATATTATAATGATATAAAATGAACAAACAATCCTCATATTTAATAAAGTGAAACAGAATATTTGGTTTGATTTGAGCTTTAATTCATGAATTTAACACAAGTTAAAAGACTGTGTGTGTGTGTGTGTGTGTGTGTGTGTGTGTGTGTGTGTGTGTTACCTCCAGCTCCATGTAGTTTCCGAGTCCCTCCACTGAGTCCAGGTGAACTCTGGTCTGACCAATCAGAAACAGCCGTCGCTCCTTCCTCACCTCACCTTTAACCCCGAGAGCGTCTGAGAGCACAGCCTGCACACGCACACACACACAGAGACACACACACACACACACACACACACACACACACACATTAACCTGAGGGAACTCAGTGTGTCGCTGCAGAAACACACACAGGTCGGCGTTTTACCCGCAGGCTGGGCGGGTCGTTGGTCGGACTGATGGAGTAACGCGACAGTTTGGGTCCATCGGTGTCGGGACGCTCGTAGAAGATCAGCTGACCTGACTCGTTCTAAACAAACAAACAAAAAACCAAACAAACAAATAAGCTGCGAGTCAGTTTTATACCTGGGTACAAGATTAAATCACATTTAATTCTAATTTTTAAGATATTTCTTTCGTATCTTAAAATAAAATAAAAAGAATTTTATACATTTTATTCCTCATTTTATTTTTTTTATTTTAATTATTGTTAATTTTTTATTATTTTATTTTTTAATCTATTGTCATTTTGTATCTTATGTCATTATTTTTTAATGGTAATTTTATTTTTTATTTGTATTCACTTAATCAATTAATTTTATTGTGATTTTTAAATTTATTTTATCAATATTTATTATTTTTATTCATTTATTTCACTTTTCCATTATTGTGTGTTTATTAATTTGTGTTGTTTGTTTTCTCTTTTTTAAACAATAATCTCTAGTAAATATGATTTGTGTAGTTTACTCAAAGTGCTCACAAGACATTAAAGAGAGAAAAATTAATAAAAATAATGTTAAAATATATTACAACAACAATATATAGAAAAATAGAATAAAATATATTTCACAGCTTTTGTTACTTTATAAATATTCTTTATATAAAACATATGAAGAGTTTGATGTTTAGTTATTTATTATAGTTAGTCAGTGTTATACTGCCAGTGGCCACCAGGTGGCGCCAACAGTTCAGTCTCTGGTTCTGATGGTGGAGCTGTATTACACACACACACACACACACACACACACACACACACACACACACACACACACTGTATGTACCATGAAGTCTCGCAGCTTCAGTCGTCCGTGGCTGCAGTTGAAGAACGTGTCGTGCTGTCTGATGATCGTGCCCTCTGATTGGCTGAGCTGGGCGGCCTTCTTGGCGAACTGCGTCGGGTCGCTCACTCTGGCTTTGATCTCCACGTTGGACGGCATGTTTCTACTGAGCATGTGCAGAACAGAGAGAGGACAGGTAGACAGTTAAGTACAAATATAACTGAACGCTGTCACCATCACCCAACTGTAATCAATCAATCAATCAATCAATCCATCCATATATCAGATTATTTGTACATAGCAAGAAGGATTTGTGGTCAAGTATCTAATTTCTTGTTTCTCCTTGTTTGAAATTATTAAATTTTTTATTATTATTATTATTATTATTTAGTCGGCTGTAGTATCGGCACAATTTTTTTTGGTTTTCAAAAAAATTAGTTTTTTCAATGTTTTTATATTTTATTGTTTTAATTTTCAGTCTTGCACAATTGTATCTACGGTTGTTCAATTTGTTTTTATGTGTTTTTTAAAAATGTTTGCATGTTTGTAGGAAAGGTGAAATTATATAAATAAAATTAAGGGTATTATTTATTTTTGAGCAAAGAAACTTTTTTTCATGTAATTGTTAAAAAGTGAAATATTATTTATATAGGGTAAAAAACGTTAAAAACACCAGAAGCTATAAATATGCTAATTTCGTTCATTTCTAAAGAAAATATACTTGAAAATAAATCATGAAAAGTACATAATCCTTAAATTAATTATTTAAAAATAACAATAATAACAGAGAGTTCAGTTTTTATTTATTTATTTTGCTGCCACTCTACAGCTCCACATCCCGTCCACTGTACAGCTGCCACTCTACAGCTCCACTCTACAGCTCCACACAGCTGCCACTCTACAGCTGCCACTCTACAGCTGCCACTCTACAGCTCCACTGTACAGCTGCCACTCTACAGCTCCACATCCCCCACTCTACAGCTGCCACTTAAGCTCCCGTAGACTCCACTGTACAGCTGCCACTCTACAGCTCCACTTAGAGCCCCTACAGCTGCCACTCCCCCACTTACAGCTCCACTCTACAGCTGCCACTCTACAGCTCCACATCCCGTCCACTCTACAGCTGCCACTCTACAGCTCCACTCTACAGCTCCACATCCCGTCCACTGTACAGCTGCCACTCTACAGCTCAATCCGTCCACTGTACAGCTCCACTCTACAGCTCCACATCCCGTCCACTCTACAGCTGCCACTCTACAGCTCCACTGTACAGCTGCCACTCTACAGCTGCCACTCTACAGCTCCACATCCCGTCCACTGTACAGCTCCACTCTACAGCTCCACTCTACAGCTCCACTCTACAGCTCCACTCTACAGCTCCACTCTACAGCTCCACTCTACAGCTCCACTCTACAGCTCCACATCCCGTCCACTCTACAGCTCCACTCTACAGCTCCACATCCCGTCCAGCAGGAGGCGGTAATGTACCTATAAAGCTGGTTAACCGCCATTAAAACCAGAAGAAGAAGCAGCGGCAGCAGCGGGATATGGCGCCATCTTGTGTGCCGTTTACAAAGCACATCATTGACATTAACTGACAATACGAGACATTTAATGCTATTAAACCAACTCCACACACATAACATTTAAAATAATTAAATTATATTGGTGTTTAGTTAGAATTTAATACAAATATTACCATGTTTTTGACCTAATAAAACCCAATAAAAAAAGAAAAAGTAACAACAAGCCGTTATTTATAAAATGTCCGTTACACGTCTACGTTATGAACAATGGCGGACAGCCACAGAGGAGCACTAACTAACTGTCAGAACTAGACTTATTACCTGTTTACGGTGTTTCTGCTGTTGTGTCTCTGTCTGCTTAGACTTGATTTTACCGCGAAACGCACAGTTCCTGCGGGGCGGAGCAGCAGCGGCGGCCGGAGAGCAGCCGACAACTCACGGAGAGAGCCGAGAGCCGACATCAAACTGACCGCAGAGCAGCGCTCAGGGACGGAGAGCCGCTCTCATCACACGGGGTCTCCTCATGGATGATCCGCTGGAGGGGAACATCTCAGTCTGCGGCTGCGCAGAAGACACATAACACGGAGACGAAGACGTCTCACTCCGCTTCATTTCTGCTGCACAGAGTTTTACAGCAATACTCCACCTAATAATCTATAATCTATAATCTATAATCTGAGTATTAAACACTCACACCAGGTATAAAACGGGTGGTTTCAATAAATGTGAAGCTTGTTATAACAATTACAATTCATATTCACAGTCACAGTACAAATAGCATCAATATATAAAATCTGAAACTTTATTGACAATATATACATTCAATACATTAACTACCAAACATGTATACCATAATATTTCATTATAGAATTTACAACTATAATGTATACTTAATATAATTAAATTAATATAAAAATAAACAAAAGAAACGCGAAAAACCTGCAAAACAATTAAATTTATGATGTCTCCAATCGTCAAATATATAATATATATAATATAAACAAGAATAAAAGGAGGGTAATCTTTTAGGCCTAATGATTTTGTGAATAATTAAGTAAAGATGTTAACTTTAAATTAACTGAATGTAATTAGTACAATTAACTTAATTTACTCAAGTTACACAATAAATACCTGAGTAACTTCTACTCAAATCAAATTGTTGCTTAAATTAAAGTTAAAGTGAATAAACAAAAGCAAACTGGTTTGAGTTGAACTAACAAATCAGTGTATTAATTCTATTAATGGAGTTTATTTAATGTTTTTTTAATTATTAAAAGTGCAACCAAAATAAAAGTACTGATGCCAACGTGATTCTGGTGTGACCTCATGCTGTCACTGACTGCGTTTCTGTTTATACGTGTTTACCTCCGCGGCTATCTATGCCAACACACACACACACACACACACACACACACACACACACACACACACACACACACACACACACACACACACAGCTGAAACATGTCTACATTTAGCTCGCTGGATCATCAATACAACTCTGGACCTGCATGTGTGTGTGTGTGTGTGTGTGTGTGTGTGTGTGTGTGTGTGTGTGTGTGTGTGTGTGTGTGTGCCTGGCATTACTGGGCAACTGGACAGCATCATAGTGAGAGAAAGTGGGAGCGAGAGAGTATCAGAGAGAGAGAGAGAGAGAGAGAGAGACAGGGAGAGAGAGATGGAGGGGGAGGCGGTGGTTGGTTGGCATTTGGAAAAAACAAATCAGGAAAGAAGAAGCCTGATGGGAAGCACCGCAGAGGAAAAACAAAGACGTCTGTGAGGTTTTTTCTGTGAGTAAAACAACCACAATTATACTTTACCTTGATAACAACACTCATAATGTTACAGCAGTGTTTATGTTATTGTTATATATTATTTATTGTCAGGTTTGCGTCAGGATGACCGTCACATATTCCAGTAAAGTAGCAAACGCCACCTTCTTCAGCTTCCACCGGCTGCTGCTGCGCTGGAGAGGAAGCATCTACAAGCTGCTGTACCGAGAGTTCATCCTGTTCGCTCTGCTGTACACCGTGCTGAGCGTCGTATACAGGTCACACACACACACACACACACACATATAAACACACTGTGGGGGCATGTTTGCAGAGCGCATTATTACTACAGATATTTCCTTTAAAAAGCTGCATTGTAATTTATTTAGAGTTGGTTCAACTTTAAAATGTTGATTTGCTGAGTTGAATGAACTTAAGTTGAACTTTTAAAGTCATATTTGAGTTGTACAAGTAGTTGAATTAAGTTAAAGGTCCAGTGTGTAACATTATTTTATTTATTTGTTTGTTTAGTGGATTAAAGAGGCTCTAATGTCAGTTAGTGTATAATCACATTAATATAGGAGTCGTTGTGTTGGAGCACTGGTTCCCCACCTTTCATCCTTAAGGAAGCTCTTTTCTATCATTTAGTAAACTCAGTGACATATTTTGAAATTCTGAGCAGATTATTGCGTCAGAAAGTAGTTTTCCTGATTATTTTAGAGACAAACAGACTGTTTGTATTGTGTATTTATTATTTTTGAACAATCATACAAACTGAATCGTTTTTTTTTTTATGGGAAATTTAGTCAAGAAGGCCTAACGAGCCCCCTGTTAAGCTTTTGCGACCCCAAGTGGGGGTCCCGACCCCCAGGTTGGGAAACACTGCTTTAGAATGAGCCTTTTACATCTATAAACACTGTGCAGTCCGCCATGTTTCTACGGTAGCCCAGAACGGACAAACCAAACACAGGCTCGTCTCACAGCCCCGTTCTCATTCCCAGGTCGTCAGGTACAGACGCGAGTGGTGTTCAGTTAGTTGCAATCTGATACTTCAGCACTAGATGCCACTAAATCCTGCACACTGGTCCTTTAACTGAATTAGAAAACTTGTTAAAGAAACTTAAGATATTAATTAAGATATTGTTACACAATGAAGTTGTTATTGTTGGAGCTACTTAGTGAATTTATTAATATACTAACCTTCGTCGTGGTTGTTTTCGTCACTTTGGAAACAAACAACTGTGTTTAATTAACTTTAAATAAACATTATATTTATGTTAATTTAATGAGAAAAGATGATTTCACTAAATTACTGTGTGAATCTTTACAGTGTGGTTCTACTTTGTGCTTTTTCTGGCTGCTTATATTCTATATTTTTCTAATTTTCAGACAGAATAACAGTAAATTTATCTATGTTTGTGTATCAAAACGTGATCTTCCTCTTCCTCTGTGCCGTAGAGCTACAAACACACACCATGAACACACACAGTAGTAAATTCTGACTCAATCACACATTCACCGTCCTGCTGCCACAAATATTCACTAGAGCAACAAACGTGGATTCATAAATGGAGCCAGTACTTCAGATTCGTAGCTAAGTACTTTGCTTGAGTGGTTATTATTGATTGTGATGTCTGTGTCCTCTGTGCTGCAGGACCGTCCTCTCCGACCATCAGAAGAGGTTGTTCGAGAAACTCTCCATGTACTGTGATAAATACGCAGAACAGATTCCCGTCACCTTCGTTCTGGGTACGTCTCTCCGTTTACTCACTACAGCCGTACGCTCACAGGACCACAGCTCGGGGCTGAGTCAGCTCGGTACCGCTGTCGTCAAACTGTCCGGAGGTTGTGTTCACTGGGAGGCTGCTGAGCCCCGTTCAGTTGCACACTAACAGCAGCTACATTAGCAGTTAGCGGAGTGGAGGCAGTTTCACCCAAATCACTGATAAAGTTGTTTTCATACTTTTTTACGAGCGATAAAGTTGTGTTTTTATACTTTTTACTGAGCGATAAAGTTGTTTTTATCCTTTTTACGAGCGATAAAGTTGTGTTTGTGTACTAGTGAAACATTACATAACTAACTTATGATAGTAGTAATAGTTGAAAGATAATCTGTCTCATTATCTGTCTCATTATCTGACAGATGCTTAATGGTCTACAGATTACAGACTTGCAGATTCACAGGGGATCAAAGAACACAGTCGGTGTTATTATTAATAATCACAGGAGCAGCCGGGCTAATATTAGTCTTCTGAGAACAGGGGTTAACACTCAGCCCCACCGACTGACTGACAGTGTCTGTATTTAGTTTAACTGCTTTCACTTACTATAAGAGCACTTATTCCACTACTGTTGAAGACTGAAAACTATCTAAAACTCTGAGTATAACTCTGCTTCCTGTTTGAGGAGCCACGGCAGGCCGACAGACAGGCTGTTTGGTTGCCTCATTAGCAGGCTGCTAATGGAAACAGATCATTAAAGAACAGATGGCTAAAAGCAGGATGAGTGTTTGTGTATCTGATCCCCCACCCTGATCCCCAATCAGTGGGAGCACACAGTGTCTATATGTTCCCAGGGTGCTATGTATATATATAGATATATATATTCACTCATTATATTTTAATCAGCCCTGACCAACAAATCCAATGTTTCCTCAACTTTAAAAGAAACATAGAAAATACATCCATACAAAACCGATTTAAGCAAGCTGATTCCCCCAACTTGTAGTCTTAATGCTAAGTAGAGTGGAGTTTGGAGTGAAGCTGCTATGATGAAGTTTTATTTGTGTGAATTAATATGAATTTAGTGAAAATGTTGATGTGTTTTAGGTTTTTATGTGACTCTGGTGGTGAATCGATGGTGGAATCAGTTTGTTAACCTGCCCTGGACGGACCGACTCATGTTCCTCATCTCCAGGTAAACTCTAACTTATAAAGTCATTCTATTATTGATTTTTTTCCAATGTGGCTTCTTACATGGTCTTAAACTGATGCCATTGTTCCAGCAGCCCGTTATTCGAAAAAACTGAGTCTGAAAAATATCTGATCTGAACACTCTGGTGTCATCAATCAATGTATGTAGCTGACATAACTAAGGTACTTATTTCAAGCCAAACTGAACTATTACTAAACCTAACCAAGTAGTTTTGATGCCTGAACCTACTGAACTAAACTGCAACTTCGGAGCGTTGATCAGGCCCCCAAAAAATTAGCCCGATGTGACCCGAGTCCATCCTACAGCAGCCCAAACCGAAATTGGGTTAATCTGGGTTCAGGTAGAGAATATAAACTCTACTTAAGAGCTGTGGGCTTTTGTTTTTGTCCCACAGAAGGAGTACGTTGTTCATGTAGACACACAGTGTGATTTATGTCATCATGTTTCCTCTGCCTGCTCCAGCTGTGTTCAGGGTAAAGATGAATATGGCCGCCTGCTGCGCCGGACGTTAATACGCTACGTTAACCTCACATCGCTCCTCATCTTCCGCTCCGTCAGCACGGCCGTCTGCAAACGCTTCCCGACCATGGACCACGTGGTCGAGGCAGGTGAGAGCGTTGCAGATTGAAGGAAACTTTATTACTGAGACTATATGTGAACAATATCTACAGTATTATTTTGTGTGTAACTGAACTGTCAATGCTGAAGTGCGGAAAGTCAGATGGTGTTCAGCTCCTTCCCGGCTGTTCTTCTTCCTTCCTGTAACTGTATGATCTGGCCCTGGGGATTGGCTCATTATCAGCCAATTAGAGAAGGACTCTGCTGCAGG